ACCGCGGATATCACCGAGCGGCCGAGAGCGGCGGTTGGCAGCGGCCACGGTCGCCCGCGAGGCAAAAACGATGGAAGGACGGCAGACGTTGCACCCTGGCGGCGAACACACGTAGACGTGGCCGGGAACCGGGCCGTGCATCACATGTGGAGCCTTTTGTGGGATATCGTTAGATGAGGTTTTGCAATATCATCAGATGTTTGCGCATTGTTGCGCGTTGTGGAGATATAGCAAGGCCATGCAGGGCCCACGTTTGAGGGTGTCTAATAAAAGCCCTCTAGAGGTTAAGGGGTGTCCATTAACCACGGGCCCTGGTGTAGCTGCTTCTGTCATGTCTGCAGTTTCTACTTGGCCCCTTGCTGTCCCGCAAACCGCCACGTTCCTTGGGATCCGATCTGGGCAGTGGATATCTGCCAAAAGCTTTGATCAGCGCAAGACGACCACGAATTGGAGACGGCTAAAGGGATGGACTGGTCATGATGCTATTGATTTGTCATATCTTCCACCCCCGTGGGACATATTCACATCTCTTCCACATCTGGGGCAACATCGAACAGTTCGACAGTTCCACAAGGCTTCGTTCTATTCCCAGAGTGGGTGCTTTGAGATGCATTGCGCGGTTTACTTCCATCACAAAGACAGCCAATTCAACCCCATTCAACAAAGAGAAGACAACCTCCGTGTTGTTCTCTTCGTTATACCTGGATCTTCAAACCAATGAGAAAATGTCTGCCTTTTGGCTGGCTTTATAGATGTCACACACCGAAATAGTGCACATTTAGAACATCTATAGGATTCTAGAGGTATGATCTCTCTCCAATGGATGACTCCTATACAGGTAGCCAAGTGGCCGAAATGGACGTCTCCCCCTTAGCCCTTAGGAGCCTTACAGTATAACTTATACCGGCGAAAAAAAAAAGAAAAAAAAGAAACAGGACGACATGGTGCGAAGAATTCACGGACGACATGGTCGGCTCCAGTCGCCTCCTCTCAATCTCTCGGATCAAATGGAGGTACTTTGGGGTGAAGATATTGTCACCTCGAAATCTCTCGTCGACGCCACGAGTACCGATCCAGGCATCGACCACTCTCCCTCACTCTGACTCACCCAATTCGGTGCGTGCTTTTTGGTGAACGGCGAGAGCTGCGAAAACGGACGGCTTCCATTGTGGGCAAGATTCGGGGTATTTTACGGATCCCAAATGGAAGAACGGCTGTACTGGTATTCCCGGAGTTTCTTCCAAAATACTGGGGATTCTATTCTAGTACAGTACTCTGATGTACTCTGTACATCTCTTTACTAAACCAGCACAAGGCCCCTGTGCTTTTGCCACCAGTCAATCTCCGGTCAGACCCCTTTTCTGTAGATTGAGGTCACGTTCGAAGGTCGACCTGATTTGGGTCACAAACGACTGAACCACTTCGGTCCCGAACTGAAGAAGGTAGCCACTCGGACGCGTAGCGACTCACGCGACTTAAGACTCGTCTGAACTGTCCCATGGACCACCGTCCCATGGACCGTCCCGTGGACCGAGCGACGTTCAAATCAGAGTTACCAGGACCGAAACCAAGAGGTGTCTATAAAGGACCGCCTATTTTAGAGGTGAGGAACGGGGTGTCCAAAAATCATCCGGACTTGGAAGTTGCTGGTGGATTCCTCATGATTCCTCTGTTTTAGCCATTGATTGTCGATGCTTAGCCTTGGAGGGTTTGGCGACAGCCACCTGAACTCGCCTTGTCAAAGCCTCACCCACCCTAGAAGGCCCCATGGGCCCAGCAACGAGCCGGTGTGTTTAGCATGCCTTCTTTCCACATGTGTCGATCTACAATGTGGTTAACCTTGGACCAAACACCCAGCAGCACCGAAGGCCATGGGTGTTCGGTCATCTGTTGCTGATGACCCCGGCTTCCGATGGCTTCCCCCTCTTCACATGCAGGGCCCATCTTCGCATCCGAAGACCCAAACGAGACAGATGGACCCTATGGGGCTGCAATAGTTGCCAATCAGGCCAGGGTGGATTTGGGGGGTCAATGCATACCAGGGCCCCCTAAATGGGGGTTAATGGATACCCCTTAACCTCTAAGAAGCTGTAATTGGACACCCCTTAGGGGGCCCTGGTAGGCATATATAGTCCATGGGGTGTATGGGTAAGGATCTTCCAAGGCCCCCCGACCGTCTCCAGTGGCGTAGATTAAACGCACAAAGTATTTGGCCACAGAGCGTTCCTGCCAAACAATTGCCAGGCGCGCACATCACATGAAGATTTCCTGCAAAAGTTTAAGACTCGTCTAGTTTTGCAGAGATGTGTCTGAACATCATGCTAGCTATGCCTATCTACTATCATAGGGTGCCTGACCCCATGGCAAATTGAAATATATATGAACGGAATCCGTGAGCCACACCGGTATCAAGTGTAGTCGCGCGTAGAAAGATCCTTGGTTTCTGGTGGGAGAATAGTTTCACCACTGGTGACCAGTGGTGACCACTGACCACGACAATCCTTTGATTCTGTCCGAGGGAAAGGAGAACTGACCAAGACATCTCCAAGAACTTGTATGAAGCATAGTACCTTACCAAACTGACTGGCCACCTCTCTGATAGGTCTCTCACCCTGATATAGACGCTGAATCTAAAGATGTTATGCATCAGAACAATACAAACGATCAAAGCGGAGAACAGACTGGAGTTGGCCATGGATCAAAACTTGGAGCTCGCTTCACCCTGGTAGGTTGACCTCAGCCAGGTAGGTCAACCGGTCCCGGTCTGTCAGAAGGGACTCCTGAAGCTGGAGTCCACATGCAGCGATTGCCCCCGTTTTTCGTGCTCTTTTTCGTCAAAACGACCGGTCCAGCGTGGACCGGTCCGCTACCACGTGGCGGACGCCGGCGACCCCGGCGAACGCCGGTCCCGTGGCACTTGCAAGAGCCGACCATGGGGGTGAGCAGCCTGCGTGGGGGGCCGTGACATGGCGGGGGGGCTCCGGAAAGCGGAAAAGGAAGCTCGCCATGGGCTTGGTGGGAGATTTAGGGTCAGACACTCCATGGGACTGGCATATTTACCTATCAATTGGGGTGGTTTTAGGGGTCAATGAAGGTAAATATGCCATACATGGAGTGTTTGGGTTGTTTGGTTGAAGAACCACGAAAGAACTACCAGGACCATCCTGTCTGGGTGTCATTGGTTGGAGAATCCTTGTGTAGAGCAATCTATTGGAGCCCGTCACACACGAAACACCGATCCTGTTTGGGGGAAGAACAAGCAGGGCTTCAGGCCAGAAACAAAAGTCTGGGGGCTCACCGGTGTTTATCGCGAGTCTCCAACTTGGTCCCTTTCACGTTGAAAGTCACAATCAAATACATTCCTTTTTACACAGAAAGCCACAACTTCTCCGTCAAGATTCGATCTAAGATGGGCTTTGAAGATGGCTGAAATATTTGGAGGGCAACTGAAACTCGAGGATGTGTCTTCTCTCTTTCCCAGTTTAGATCAAGAACCTATCTAAAATCACTACAGGCACACCCCTGGAAAGAACACATCCGGTCGAATGCCAACGATTGCGATCCCAAACCGATAGTGTGAACTCAAACCGATGGATAGATATGGATACCTGATACATCAGCTGTACTGTTTCAGACTGCCAGGCCGCCATGGAAAGGCCCCTTGAACAACAATTGCTTGGTCTGAGCCCTGCTGACTGCTCCGCTGCTCCATGCTACTCCCCTTGCTGAATCTTTCTGAGAGATCAGCCCAGATTCAACATCACTGCTCACTCCAGCGTCCATACACTTAAATACGTCAAACATATTCAACCCTTGTCAGCCCGACCATATCTCTTGTGACAAAGAACGAAATGAAAAGCCCACTTCTGTGGCGGATCCCATGGAGGATGTCCTCCAGCTCGCTCCTCACCCCGTGTTCTTCTCCGGAAAACCGGGTGCCCCAGTGGTGGCCCCCCCCCCTTTTTTCGGCTGGAACGTTGGGTCGAGGAAGAACCAACTGCCTGGCAGGTCGAGGAAGAACGGCTGTTCGGCCTCGCACCATGCATCTGCCATGAGACTCAAGCTAACAGCACTGATTGGAGTGAGGGTTCTGCAACGTCTCTTCGGTTTTTCTTGGCTGGCAGTGTCCACATCGATATGGGTCATGGACACGTGAGGGTTGTTTCCGCTGTTTCACTTGATGTTTGTTCGGAACAGGTCAAGGGGGTCTCATCACTGGTCTCATCATATTGGGCACACAAACGCCTGAATCGTGTGAAAGCAACGGAATCAGCTCCCAGAAGCGGGTTGGCTTTCGGGAGCCAAATCTTCCACTAGAATTCTACTAAGGCTTATATACTAAGGTCAGGTATACACAACCACATTGCCTCATGAGTTCCCTGGAAAACGGCGAACGGAACAAAGGAACATGATGGAACATGATACTTTGATTGCGATCAAGTCTCCACAAACTGGTGGACTATTGTTTTTGTTTGTTTTTGCATAAATATGTCTGCAAAAAGGTTGTCCACGATGAACCACGTTGTAATCTGTTTAATTCAGATCCCAACTCTCTGACCCTACGCATCTTTCTTCTTCGCGACTGCCAGCTCCATGGCAACCCAGAGCTGTAGCGGACATTGCAGGAGGCCATGGGCCTTTGGCCCATCTCGGCACGAGCATGTTTCATTTATCTTGGAAGCCGTCACAGCTCCAAATGGAGGTGGTGAGTCGGCAACAGGATTACGGCCCATCTCGGCCTGTCGCAGGCAGCGCAGTGGATCCGAACATCAAAGGTCCTTCACAGCGACACCGCGCAGTGCCAGTGCACCAGGGTGAGCCACCCTGCCAGTCACTGTGAGAAGAACTCACCACTAAACTCATGCGGCATGGCGAACTGGCTAACCTTGTTTTGAAAGCTGCACTGGCTAGCCATCCAAGGCTCTCTACTCCTAACCTTCACATGTCTATTTCCATCGACCTCCAGGAGGCCTTCGTTTCCTTTCAACCCTCCCCTCGCCTCACCGTCGCACCATCGGACCTCCGTCCTCCGCCGGAATTCCGGCTTGGAGCCTCCGTCCGGGCTCCGGCCGCGCGAGACGTGGAGGTTTGGACCTCCTTTTGTGCTCAAAAGTGAGACGATTTTACAGGTCTGTTGGACCTCCTACAGGTTTGGACCTCCTTTTACCAGGTCAGGCCTGGTCAGGTGAGGGACCCAACTGGGAACTGACTAACACGACTCGAGCGACTGGTCACCTGACTGACTGACTCACCTCGAGGAGCTGACTGACTGGACCGTCCAGGAGCGACGGACATGAACGACCTCCTGACCTGGAGCGGTTTTTTTCTGGGAAAAAACATGGTGGGACACTACTCATACTGTGTCCGGCTGGGACCAAACTGGATCGAAGCAGCAAACAAGAACAACAGTTTGCAATGATGTTTGATAAGTGAAGTTAAGTTAAGGTGTGTTGTTTTTCTTGAGGTCAAAATAGATCTCAATCGTACTTTTGGACATTTTTGGACTGGAAGGGTCTCGCCTGGTAATCAGACTCCACTTGGCCTCCACACAAAAGGCCTGCCTATGCCTATAATATGTGTCTTCGACCTCTCTCCCTCTCTCGTGGCCTGCTCTGTGTCATCTCTGCCAAGAGCATCTCCAGCTGCTTCCTGTCACCTGGAGCCAGTCGATCGGACCAGGCGACCAAACCTGGTCTTTCGAAGGAGATTCTGTGTTGAAATAGGGAGACCTCTGAGGCAACGACCCCACTGGAAGAAAGGAATATTGACTCCAAAAAAGAACCATTAGTTGGAGACCTCCCTACTGGAATTTCATGTGACTTATTGATTCGGCGCATGGAGAATACCTTGTGGCCAAAAGGAGATGACCTCCATCTTCGTCGACCCGCCGAACGCGACCCAATCGTGACCCATCGAGCTTTCACTGTCTGACCCGAAGAACGTGACGGCATTTCCACCGAAGCAAAGCCGGATGATTTAGCCGGTTTGTGTTGGAACACAACACCCTTTGGAGAGGGCACATCACCTCTTCGATTGACTGGCCGGGGCCTGCAGCTTTCACCGCACGCAAGGCTGTCGCATAGCAAATGAGGTTCGGTGCAATCCTCTCCTCGCAGGAACCAGTGGTCACTCGACAAGGAAGAAGGATGACTGCTTCTGAGATCCCCTCAATTTCTCTCGGATGAAGGTTTCTTTCGGGCGTTGGGCACGGGACCTCAGTCCTCAAAATTGTGAATCATGATGTAACCATGCATGATGAACCCTACATTTCCAAATGCGATGTTTAACATAGCATTTCATCAAATACGAAGTTTAGCATAGTATTTACGGAGATACGATGTGTAACCTGCAAATGCAATGTTTGACCTCCCATCCCATATCAACATGTTCTGGTGAAGACAAGGTGTCCCCACTGACTCCTCGTAGTTTTTACCTTTTTCAATCACTTCTCTAAGCAAACACTCCATGACCAGTCCTAATAGGCTGATACTGTTCCCAGAATTCTATTAATAGCAAAGCTGCCCTCACAAGTCCTGATGTCAAGCCAGTATATTGGGCAGTTCACCTGTTCTCCCTCCGTGATCTATCACATCCGGCCACAAAGCAGTCCAGGACTTTGCCAGGGGTGTGGAGGAAACAGGGTCCCTGATTTCACGGTTAAACATGGTATTTCACGTGTAAACTTCGCATTTCACGCTCATTTCACGCTCATTTCACGGTACTTCACGTTTGAGGTTTCTAAGATCCAACTCCACGTTTGACCTGTTCCTAAAGTTCTTCTGGACCAGTTGATTGAATTTGGCAACTTCGTAGCCATGGAGCTCACCGGCCCTGGCGAAGAAATCCGTTCGAACCATTTGTTGTGTCTTAAGATATGCGATCTCTCAATTTATACCCTGCAACACATCAGAAACACAGCAAAGCTCCTTTCTTTTAATGTCTCAAGCTTTGGTTGGATATAAGGTCTTTTTTGGCCCTGGAGCACTGCAGACTGGCACAAGGTATGCAGGCTCTGAGGGCTGCGGGCCCTTTTTATGAAATGCGATGTTTAACGGGCCAAACATAATATTTGGTAAATACAAAATTAAACTTCAACTTTGAAGTGTAGGGTGAATATTGACAGCGCTTCGCGCTCGAAGCCGCCCGCACGGAGTGCGTCTGTCTGTCTCGGTCGATCTGTCTCGGTCGGGCAGGACACACGGACGAACACACCCATGATGTCAAAAATGCACTCTCTTCCGGGCTGCATATTCGGCATTGCAATTGCTTGGTCGGAAGCCATATCAATGTTTATCAATCTGCAAAAAAACATCGAAAACACCATTTTCACAACATCGCAGGGCGTGCGTGAGCCTCCACAAGGCCTCGGCCCCTTCAGTGCGGGCGGATTATGTATCACATAATTCTATAATAAGTTCGCCGCTCTAAGAACAAGCTGGTTGTTTTCTCGCACACAAAAGGGCTACGGTTCAAGCCCTCAAGTACATCTATGTTCAACTCTCATGAAATGCCGTGCCAATCTTCAAGCTCCCCCCTCCCGAATTCGTCGGGGAAAGCCGGCACGGCTAGGGTTCCAAAAGTAAGCTCAAGCCCCTTCGTGGATAGGCTCCAGAGACTGACTCTAAGCTGAGAATGCTATGTGCAGCAAAACCACAAACATCAAGCATCACCGTCCATTCCCCTTTGAATGGAAGTGGAAGGAAAAAAAACTTCACACACAACTAAAGCTCTCTCAGCGGGCCACCCTCGACCTCCACATTCTCATTTTCAGCGCGTGCTCCTGGAGGTGCCCTGCCATGAGAAAAACAGGCTGACTCCCTTCCATTGGGATTTGAGATAGCACATTGCTCTGCTACCTCGGCGGTTGTCCACCCGGGCAAACATCAAGCCATCCTCCATCCAGCCCAACGTGACTACGCCAGCCGTGATACCACTCGACGGTGGTGGAGCTGCGACTTCTGTGTCGAAGAGCTTTTTGCGCCAGGTGGAGTGTTTGTGGACTCTCACTAGGATGGTGCCGTTCTGAACTGGTTGAAAAAAGGTCCTTGAAGAGCCGTGAAGTCCATCAGGATTGAGCTCTTGTAGGAGATCTTCCGGAAACATCCACCGGAACTGCCGCAGTTCCTGGCGCTTCAAACGCATCACAAACTCCCTCATACTCTCTCCCTGATTGGAGGTGAAGATGCCATCAAAGAACACATGGTGCGGGGTCACATCCGATAGATCATCTCTACTACCAGCCCCACCCTCGTTCTCTGCAATGAAGTCCGGGTTCGGTTCTGATTGGAGTTGCGAGAGGCTTCTCACTGCCACCCCCGTGCTACCAAAACCTTCTTCTCCTCGTAGGGTTTGGGTCAAAACCTCAGTACCTTGGAGGTTCACCTTGGCATACTTTTCAAGGATGAGCTGCCCCACGCGATCACCAGGGCAAACTGACAAGCTCTCTTGACCATTGTTGACCAAAATGATCTTGACCTCTCCTCTAAAATCAGGATCAATGACTCCTCCGACCACATCAATGCCCCGGAGTGCAAACGAACTTCTGGAAGCGATCCGGCCATAGCAACCACTTGGCATTTCTATAGCCAATCCAAGGGGCACCAACTTCCGCTCACCCGGAAGGATCTCAACGGATGCCGCAGCGGCTAAATCCCAACCAGCTGCTTCAGGTGTAGCCATTGATGGCAAAGATGCGTGGTCGCTCAAGAGCCTCACCTTCAGCCGTTCCGGCTGGTTGAACAATCTCTTCGCGAGATCCCAGCCCATCTCCTTGATGAAGTGGAGCAAACATACCAACCCTGCCAGCATCAGCATCCAGCCCACCTCCAGCCACGAGCCTGATTCGACCTCCCCCCTGGTCTCCTTTATCTCACACTCCTCAGCAGATTGAGCGCCTGGGATCATAGCAGCGCCTGCCGCCAGCAAGGACAACGATTTGAGCACCTTGACATTCACAGGCGTTGAGACCTCGACAGCTTCTCGTTGACCCCCCTGATCATCAGACCCCAGTGAAGGGTCACCGAGCCATATGCCACGACAGAACCTGCTGATTTGTTGTGCCGGAAGCGGCTTTGTCAGACCATCGGCCCAAAGAGAGGTGCCCACACGATGGTTTAAGGTCAATTCCCCCACCTTCACTGCCTCCGCCAAGCAGCTAGCTCTGATGCGCAAATGCCTGGTTCGCCAGCCACCACCAGATCCAGAAGCCAATACGACGGCCGCTCTGTTGTCATTGTACAACTCCAGCTGAATACCGTCCTGCAGCAACTCGATCAAAGAACGGACAGATCTGCCGGTCTGTAGGCCCTCAACTAAAGCCGTGAGTTCTGCTTCAGCCGTGGAGAGAGCCATCAAACTTTGCTTTCGACTCTCCCATTGCACAGGACAACCGGCCAGCAGAATGACTGTCCCAGAAACACTGTGCCCATCGCCAGGGCAGAAAGATGCATCTACAAGAACCTCCACAGTTCCAGCTTGACGGGGTTGACTTCTTCGGAGATCCGCATCGGAGTCCTGAGGAACTTCTTTGGTGTACAAGAGGCCATAGGTCAAGGAGAACTTGAGGTAGGCCACCACTGCGAGACCCAGCTCCACTGTCCACCTTGGCTTCTTCAGGGCGTTTTGTGCCATTTTCATAATGGCCCACGACAGGTCAGGGCGGGTTTTGCCCGAGAGCCAAAGAAGTTCACCAGTGATCTTCTGGGCCTCTCTTATCTTGGGAAGCGAAACAGCTTGCTCTTCCTGTGGCTCTTCCGGAATCCTGATGAAAGGTGAAGAAGTGCATCCAGCATGCCGATCGATGATCTCTTTTGCATAGCACTCCTGGTGGAGAAAGTAGGAGCCATCACCAAGTCTCAGGATTTCGATGCCCAAGAATCGCATAGATTGCCCCCCAACTGTGGCGTACTCCGGCGCCGACGTGGACCACTTTCCACGGATTGTCGAAGAAGCTGAATCCGTGACTTCCTTGGATGCCACCATCAGGATGTCATCCACATAGACGATCATGTGACCAAGCACCTGCCCCCACTGTCGTGTCCCATCAACAGCTGTGGTGAACTCTTGGATGGCCCATAGATTGGGATCTTCCATGGATCTGAATGCAAAGCAGCGTGGTTGACCATCACCCAGACTTTCAATAGAGCCCACCATCTTCACGAGCTCCGAGTCCCGAAACGAACTCCAGTCCCTCGGAGAGGTAACCAACCCATACATGGCTGAAGTAACCAACCAATGCTCGCCAGGTCGTGTCAACTTTGCTTCTTCCAGTATCTTGGGAGGACGAACGATGACAGTTTCGCCCTGGGCCTTTGGTGCCAGCAAAAAGGCTGACTTGACATCCAGTGAGAGACATTCCCAATGGCGAAGTGAAGCCAGTCGAAGAATCGTCCGCAGTTGCGTGGAGTCGGCACCTGTGGCATAGACTTCATCACCTGCTCGGGGCTCCATATGGTTGCCACAACAAACAATGCGGGCTCTTCTTCGACCATCTCCTGCTTTTCGGGTGAACACACCCATGCCTGGAATCAGCTCGGCTCTTTGACCCTTCTCCTTCGCCTCGGACATGATCTGGTCCACCTGCTCCTCCGTGATTCGCTGGATTGCCTTGTTGGAGTCAAAGTTATCGATTTCCGTCTGCAGTGGTGGGATCCAAAGTGGCAGCGAACGTCGAACCTCCTGCAAGCTGATGGTTCGAGTCTGCAAAAAGATCTCTTCCTCTTCTTCCGCCACCTTTGATGCCCCAGCCTCCAGCCTTCGACACAGGACTCCTTCGTCCGGCAACATCTCTTCAATCTTCTTATTCTCACAGTCCAGGTCGTAGACCAATGCCACCGAACCATCCTCCGCATTCAAGTTGGCTTCAAGATGGCTGAATTCCTCATTGGCCCATTCCTGACCTCGTAAGAGTCGAGCCTGAAGTTCCTCCGCCGAGACCTTGGACAGTGCTGTCTTCTCATACAGCCGTCGTTTTGGGACTGCGGCTCCATCAAGAATACTTGCAGGTTCAGATCTCTCCTTCACATTGACGACGTCCTCCAGAGAAGGTGGGTCTTCCGCCTGAGTAAGATCATCGGTCCTCACATACTTGCCCTTATCGATCTCAACGAG